TTGGCGTTTCTCAACAGGAACTATAGTAATCTTCAATCCCTGCCCATGTCACAGTAAGAATTATTTTCACTTTTTATTTTATTTTTATTGTTATATATATATAATTACATGTGTATTTATGCTTTATTTATTCATCATAGCATGTTATGTGTCTTGTGCGAATGAGTAGTGTTGCTACCTGTTGTGAACCAAATTGCCCCTTGGGACATTAAAGACATATTCAATTCAATTCAATTCAATCTCAATCTCAATTCTCCTCTACCTTGGTAACGTGAGTGGTTGCTGAGGTAACGTTTTCAGTGACGAGGATGGGCGACCCGGACGTCTCTCTTCCCAGACTGCCCATGTGCACCTGAGAAAGCACAACAGCTGGAATTAGGCAAATGCTGTGCGCACACTCATGCACAAATCCTTACAGGTGATAAGACAACCAGTCATTCTTTTTTGAATATTTTAGGATATCCAGGCAGGTGCATATTTTTTTCTAATTCATGTCTTTGGTCTTTGTAAGTAGGTTTAAACCCTGGAGAGCAAGGAAGCGTATGCTGCAAGTTGAGTTAAAATTGGAGAGGTCCTTCTGTTTGTACTCACAGGGGATACACTCTGTCTTGTAGAGTAAGAAACTTCACTTAAGCCAGTGATGCTGTGATCCTGAAACAGACACATTATGTCACTTGTAGGCAATAATCCTTTTTTCTTTACCATTTTACAATATAATGAAACATATTTTTTTCCGTTCTAGTTGCAATGAATATTATTTTTAATTACAATATTTTTCACAATAAAATTCAATTCACCTGATCTGTGAACTCCACAATGGTTGTGGTGACCTCTGACCCGTTGGGCTGAGTCTCTGTCCTGACATCTGTCTTCCTCACTGTTGGTGTGGGCATGACATCACTGGCCTCTCTGCTAAGTGGCGTGATGGCAGATGCCCGACTGGCTTCTCTGTGCGACTGCTCTCTGTCCACTGACGATGACACTGGCACCGACCTCTTTGGTTTTTTGGGAACTACGGGCTTACGTGAAATAAAAAAAGACAAGTTTTAGTTTTTACACATATGAGAGATGAGCTTGAAGGTCTGTTGCCTATTACTTAAATTCAGTGAAAAATAGGACTTCAAAAAGAGTTAAAGTTGGAAGCACATGCAAACACGAAGATATTTCTAATGCAGAGACAAACAAAAGAGCAAATGAACAATGTGTTTTGAGCTCAATGCTTAAGAGAGATGTTTTATATTGCAAAAAAGATAAAAGAATAAAGGAAAACAGCAAAGAGAAAATATGAAGGGTCTTTCATATCATATCATGACAAAGTGCAATAAACACATTGCCTGTCAGCGTGTTTCATTACAGCCAGTTACTATGTGCTTTGCTGGATTTCAGTGCTCTAGAAGCAGCAATATACATTGAATATACATTTTAAACTGTAGGCCTTTACACCCTACAGCTTTTTGACAATCTAAACACTCGACACAGAAAAACACATTGAAATCTGTGACAAACACCTCGGGTGTGATCGCACCACAATTCGTTTTTTTGGTTGTTTTTTTTTCTTTTCATTTGAACCACAGTGGAAAAGTTCTCACTGCTCTATTTTTGTACATTTCATTCACATTCACACTGACCAACGACTGCACAGGCAAACTAGAGCTTGTAAACAAAAGTTGCATGACCTCATCAACAGCTCGCTTTGGTGGCCTGTCATCACGCTTTGTTGGAAACTTGGGTAGCACTAAGAGAGGAATATGCTGGTGTTATGTGAGGGGGGATTGGGGAAGATGGCAATCCAGTTCTACTTTGTGTTGTTTTGGCAAAACACCTGTCTGTACTCTTTTATTTATTTCACATGTGCATCTAGTTAAAAACTATAAAAACACTTGTATGGGTATATTTTAGCTGACTTCTTCTTACCCGCCTGAACAATTCAAACTAAAAGAGTAGAAGCCTCTAAGTGTTCCACACACACTGATAGGAAAACTCTGGTCTGCTGTACCTGCACATCGGACCGTTTGACCTCTGGTCGGACTTCTTCAGTCTGGATATGTTTGGCTGGAGGGCTGCTGCTGGCTCCTCTGGACAGAGGAGCTGACACTAATGGAGGAGGCGGTTCAGAGGGGCCCTGTTGCTGGAGCAAGTCGATGCCAAAGCACAGACCGCCATCAGGTGACAGATCCCTGTCTCCCAGCTCTGACATTCCCCTGGAGAACTCCTCCATGCCCGTGTGCAGGTCCGTGAGGACAGTGAAATCTACTTCGGCCTCCAAACTGGACGTGGAGCTGACCGTGATGCTGGAACATTTGCGCTCGATGCCCAGGTGGGTTTCCTTCAGGTACAGGATCTCATGGTCCTGGTCATCCTCGGAGACAGAGCCCAGACGTCTCTCCCATGGTTCCCTCTGCAGAAAAGAGTGCAGAACATTTAATACAATTTAAAACACATATATATACCTACATGTAATAAAATCAAAGACTGTGAGCTACAGAAAATTAAAATGCATTGAATAAAATGCATCAGAATTAAGAATGTAAGCTTTTTTTCCAATAATTACTGATACAAACAAAACATGTAACAGCATCAGAAAACGTAACGTAAAATCGTGTTTCTGGAATTTTGGTGGTGGGGTTTCCACGTTTATGAGACATACATTTATGGCTTTTTGAAGGACCAGTGTGTAGGATTCAGTGGCGTCTAGTGGCAAAGTTTCATATTGCAACCAGCCTTCCAGGTGTTTAGAAGAAACTATGGTGGCCACAAAACTATCAAAAAATGCAAAAGGACCTATCTAGAGCCAATGTTTGGTTTGTCCATTCTACTGTAGATACATGGCGGTTCAACATGGCGGACCCTCCGTACATAAAAATGTCTCATTCTAAGGTA